TGCATCGGCTGAAACAGAATCGGACAAGGATAGCCGATGTAGCCGATTCCGATGAGGAGATGGTAGGATCATTGTCGGGTTCGGTTGGTGTGCTTCATGAGGATTGCCACGTGCGGATTGAGTCCGAAGAAGGCAATTGTATCTATTAATTAGAATATTTGTTAGTTTCCTTTTATCTTTAGGAAAGTGTGTTTAGTGTCCCTTAAGGACTTTATGTTTTTCTTTTATCTTTAGGAAAGTTTCTTTCTTGTCCTACAAGGACTAGTATCTCCCCATGGGTATAAATATGTACACCCGGGGTTATTGTAATCAATCAACTCTCGATCAATTCAATTCGGCGCATCGCCACCTTTTACTCTGTTACGGTTTATTTACCAACCGGCGGAATTTGGCACCTGATGTGGGGCTGCATCAGCTGTCGATCTCCGGTGAAGGGGTAAGTCCAATGTTCCGTCGGTTCAGGCAATTGTATCATCTACGTCGGCGTCGTTCAAGGCTGCATCAGTACATTCGACCTCTTGGATTGCTCTGGTTTTGATAATATATTTGCCTGGCTATTTATCATATGTCTTCTGTTAATCTAGTATTAGCATCTCGATTTAGTTTTATCGGCTGCTTCTCGTTTTAGGGTTTCTGCCGGTATCGGCTAAATCGTCTTGCTAGATTAGATTAGCTTAGGCATCTACCACCCTGAAAATCAATCAAGGGCTTGATCATCTAGATACTGTGTTTCTTTACATACTTAGTGCTGCATCAGTTGAGTTTGACCTACTAAGTCGTGCTTAGAATCATGAGTCTCTAGCCTGCTTTTTGATTGCCGATAAGGGTTTCATCGGGGTTTCAGCCGGTGAGTTATCTGGACGTTGCATCGGCTTATAAGGATTGCATATAAGTTGAATTTAGCCGATAACAACAAAGGTTTCACTGTTTAATCTAATCTTGTGGATTTTATGGCATTGGATCTATGTTAGATTCACTTAATCGGCTATGCTATGAATATATATAATCTTTCTCTTGAGATGTTTTTAGACATAAGTGATTTATACTGTCTCGGCGCCCTGTCCGATCTATCCCAATCACTTGGTTTAAATATATTTTGAGATTTAGATTATGTATCATTGATATCTACAGCCGATCGAGTATGTCTAACTTTCGTTTCACTTTATCAAGTCATTGCCGATCTAATGCATATTATCATCAGCCGATTGTCTCTTTGTCATTATTTACATCAAGTGTCAGTATCTACATTGAACATATAGCCGATAGCTCAAAACCCTATCGCTATCGGCTGTTATTAGGATCGGCTGGAATTACTACATCGGCTATGTTGGCCGATCGGTTCTTTGATCTGCTATTTGTATATCTTGTCAGTTGCAGGATCAAACTGACTGGCACGCCCGCATCTCACCAAGATTTGGACCTGCACTGGAGCTAAGCAGATCTCCCAGGCCAGTGTGTGTTTTTTGCATCAACAACCCTGCTGAAGAAGAGTTCTTCCAGAAGCAAGCAGACTTCGAGCTGTAGTGGGGTTTCGGCCTTTCCCCAAGGCTTTGCTTGTGGCTTAGGGCTAGTCAGCGCTTTCCGCTTCTGCCTTTTTGTAATGCTGTTGTGAACTCGGGGTCTGTCCGCAGTTCCAACCTTGGTTGTAATTCTACTCTTAATAAAGAGACCGCTGTTGTTGTGATATTCTATCTTCCTGTGGTACCAGCACTGTTTCCTGGGACTGGTACAGGCATACAGGTTAATTTGGATCGCCTTACTCTGGCCGTCGGTTGGGCTAGTTTGGGGTGTGACAGGGATAGAGCCCGATTTGAGGCAATTGTATCTATTAATTAGGAAGTTAAAGTCGGTTTAGATTTAATCTATGGTAAGGGTCCGCCATGTGGACTTGTTTGTTTAGTTATAGTTAGAATCGTGTCCTATATGGACAAGGTTGTAATCTTCAGGTATATATATCCCGATAGCTTGTAACAAATAACTCTCGAATCAATCAAACACAAACACAATACTTTTCAATTTACTTTCGGTGCATCGCCACCCTCACAAGAGGTCATCTCCGGCAAGTTCTTACTTCTTCGAGTAGAGGTAGGAGCTTGTCCCCGACGATTCACATCATCAGGGCTAACGTGTCGCTTTAGACACGTTAGCCCTGTCGATGTGATCGTCGTTTATCATGTCTTGACTAATCTATAAGCAGCAGATTGATTTAACGTTGCGGCAAAGAACTCGTTTTAGGGTTCCAAGTTGACAATTGTTAAACCATTGAGCTTCGGTAGATTAGTTAAGGCATCTACCATCCCCAAAAGTGATTGACGACTTGATTCTCTTTGCTTTGGTTTTCTTCTCACACTTTGCGTTGCGATAGACCCTAGTCGTGTTTTGAATCCTAAAGCAAAGCCTGTTCTCAACCATAATTAAGGATAGTGTCGGGTTTCAGTCGGTCTTGTCTAATATATGTAATTGCTACATGTTTTTACATATATTCGCCACTTGTATGGATAGATTGGTTTATTCAAATACACCAAATATGGATCAATCTCAGATTGGTTTATGGTTGACGTATTTGCATCTATCAATCTGTTCATACAAGTCTATGTTAGGGTATTAGCTTACACATTGTTTATTTCATCTTGCACCTTATCGGCCGATGTTATTGAAACAATCAATCATATATAAAGATCCACAGATTAATGACCGATGAGGCATGATATAAGGTTTAAATTACTTTACTCTTATTATAGACAGACAAGCCGATATAGCTTTGCCCTATCGGCTGGGCTCAAACAATACACCATCGGCCGATAGGCCGATAGGCTATCGTTTTACTAACATGGTCTGTATGTTTTTCTTGTTGATTATAGATCAAATCAACTGGCACGCCCTAACCCCTTAGGCAAGCCATTGGATCTGCACTAGCTAAACAGATCTCCTAGGCTGTCGTGGTGATCATGGAACCCGCTTTGGACGTGAGGGCGGGAGTGATTTCGCATCAACAGGGACCCAACATGGAGATAGACATAACCTTTGAAGTTAGAGCAGCTCTAGAGCTTGAGAAGATCACCTTGTCCTTCGACAACATAATGTCTATTTCGGGGGCCAACCACCTTCTAAAGTTTAAGCATCTTGAGTTGAATGGCAACAAGTCGCTGCTTCTTTCATCGCTTGAGAATGCTAAAAACATTTCCAAGGTGACTCTGCATTCTACCTGGCTGGATCGTGCTAACCTACAAATTCTCGCCAAGAAACCAAGAATCCACTGCCTAGTACTCTCACACAACTCTTACGACGAAAGCCAGCTTATCTTCAACAAAAATGAGTTTCTCGAGCTCAACATTCTTATCGTCGAGTGCTGTACTGTCACCGATATCCGCTTCACCGACGGAGCAGCTCCTAAACTCGAGAAGATCGTCTGGTCTTTCACCAAGATGAATTCTCTCTCAGGCATCAAAAACCTACCGATGCTAAAGGAGCTCGAGTTCAATGGTGACCACGTCCCTGATCAGGTGAGGGATGAAATAAAAGCACATAGAAAGCAACCTATTCTTACTCTCAAGCAGCCGCAGCATCAAGACCAAGAAAATGGAACGGCACAAGAAGATGATGATGACGATGCAAGGTTTCCAGCATGCTCCTGGTTGTTGAAGAAAAAGTACTGGCCTGCCGCAAGACAAAACAAAGATTTCCTTGCACGCATCCTACATCCTTCCATCTATTCATAATCACCTACTCCCAGGATGAATTTCATGCTATCTTGTGTGTGCTAGCTCGCTCCATCGCACGACATGAACCGACCGGTGCGTACATATGTGTGGTCTGTCCCTGTGATTCTGTAAATTGTACGTAAATAGGTGTGTATTCATGCTTGCTGCCTGTGTGTGCGTGTCTGTGTATACATTAAATAATTCCTAGTGCTATCAGCTGCTTGCTGTGTACATGAGCTGTGCCATCTGATCAATGCACACAAGCTAGCTAGCTAGATAACGTGAGCATTGCTGACTGATGCAGCTAGCTGTGCTCGTGTGTCGAGTTGGATTTGTGTGGGTTTCAACTGAAACCATGTGCAAGCATGTCTGCACATCTTATATTAATGTAACATAGTAAAAATGTCGAATTTTTACTATGTTAAAATAATAAAAATAAGTTTTTGAGTTGATGACCAAAAATTCTCCCATTTCATATAACCTAAGTGAGGTTTGATCTAGCTAGTGACCATCCTAAGTGCACCCATGTTCATGTATCTTGTGAATTGAGCATGGTGAACTAAAAGTAAAGCCTTACTCCTTCATCTCTGGTCAATTACAATTCAACATATAATTTATAATCATTTAAAATGTATTCTTTTAATAGGAACATCTATTGGTTGATAAGCTCACTGAATATTTAAAAATAAATGGTGCAATATAAAATCATGAGGAAATTCATGTAGGTCCTAATCAATATATATATCTCACTAGAATTTTGGTATAATTTAATAAGTATATTTGATGCATCAATTAATTGGGTCAAAACAGTCAACTATTGATTTACTCAAAACCCTAATCGGCAAAAACAATACAACTTCCAGATGTGTATTTTCTCACATAAAAATATATAGGGGAAATAATTTATTCAAATACTACTCTGTTTATCATGAATTAATATAATTGTTCCAGAATTTATTTCATAGGTTTTGACCTTCTAAAAATTCAAATCAATCTCGTCTGAACTAGATTTCTCTTTTTCCCTGAGATTAAAATATAAATTATTTTTGAGTGAAACCAAAGAAAATGGAATATAGGTATTTTTATCTACCTCCATAAAAATCTACATTAGTTTATCATGCACAGAAAATAAGTTATGGAATTGTAAAGAAGAGAGGAAGAAAATAATAGAGAAAATATTAAAAACTATCCTAACACTGTGTTCACCCAGTTTCCTACCCATCCCTCTCACTCTATCTCTGTTGCATCGCCCTGGGACCCACATGGCAGCCTCATCAGCTTGCCCTAACCTTGGTCCACCTCGGTGCAGACACACTCCACCACCTAAGCTATCAGAGAGAGAGAGACAGAGAGAACGGGACGACGTCGCCGGCGTGCTCGACGCGTGTCCGACGTCGTGGCAGCCGCCGAGCTCGCCCATATCCACTCCAATGCGCCGCATTGTCTCCATTTCCTCTCCTGCGTCGATCCAGCCGACGGAGAGAGCCCCCTTTTGCTTCCACTCGCTATTCTTTCTCTGCCGGCCGTGGAGACGACGACCGCCGCCGCCGCCATCGAGCCACGGTCGTCACTCTTCCTCTTGCGTTCTGTGGCCTCCCCATGACGCCGAGCTTTCCCTTCTAACCCCACCGCATAACGTACAACCGTGACGCCGGAACACCGCCGCGCCCACAGAAGCACCAGAGCGCCGCCGCTCGGACATCATCGCTGTCCGGTCAACTCCGACCAAATCAGACCGAACCACCGCGCCACTGACTTCGTCTCAATCCCAGGAAGCTGCCGCCCGAAGGAATCGGACTACGACGCTGTGAACTCGGAGATCGGCCGTTTCTCCCCCAACTCCGGCCACCGGGCTCCATCCTCCAATTCTCCCTCTCCGGTGAGCCCTTGTTCGATTCCTTGTGCGTGAACCATCCCAAGAACCCAAGTGACCTCACGGATATCTTCTTCTAGCTTCTCATCGACCCGAGTGGGCTGTCGCCGTGAAGCCACCATTTTCTGCCGCCGCCGGGGAGTCTTCTCCATCGCCATCGCTGTCCGGGATCCGCCAACCGTCGCGCACCCCTTGGTGAGTCTCCAGGAACTCAGTAGATGCTTATGCATGCATTCAACCACACGGATTCGAGCCGTAACTCGAAATACACTTGCAACCCGAGAACCTCCGCCGCCTGCGCCGTCGCCACCGTCGATTCCGACCACCGCAGCCTGCGAGAAGACTACCGATCGCTTCGCCGTGGAACCCTCTACATTTCCTCTTTTAGTCGCCCACCGAGATCGGCCGCCATTTGCCTATGCCGCCGGCGAGAAGCTCGCCGAGGCGCCACTGCCCTGCCTCCTCAGCGCCAAGCCACTGACGAATGGACCCCACCTAATTAGCGCCCGAGGACTTGGCTTAGCTATAGTTTAAAACTTGCAAGGTTCAATCTGTAAAACTCTTTTGTATGGCATGTGGACTCAGGACCCATTTGTAAATAGAGAAAACCCCGAGGACTCTTAATGGAAATCGCTTTAGCACGTGCTTTAGGGCTGCGGGTTGATTCCTGTAAACTCCAGGGACTTTTCTGCATAATACCAGTCACTGACCAGTGGACCCAAGGGTTTATAATTTGAGCAAAAATAAAGGAAATGGATAAAGTAATATCTTTTCAACTGAAAATTACTTCAAACTTGTAAAATCCATATAAAATCAAATATAGCTCATTTTGAGGTGAAACCAATTTCTATAGGTTCATAAAATTGTGATCTTTAATATTGTAGAATAAAATCCTACACCCACAGTATGATATTTATTTCTAAAATTCCAAAGAAGAAATAGTTACATAGAACTTGTACAATTTGTAGGAAATTCATCTTTACTCCAAATGAAGTGAACCAAATTTCTGTAGATTCACAGAAGTATATACTTTATTTTTAAAAACATAATATTTCATACTTTCTGTACAGGAAACAGTAATAGTAATTTATACCATATAATGACCACCACTTGTACTATTTGATTTCTAAAATTTATAGGAAATTCATATCAGCTCTAAAAATTATGAAACCAATTGTATTCATCTTAGAAAACAATCCTCTTCATCCCGGTAAGGTTAACTTGATGAAAACCATATATTAAAAATGTTTCACATCAATACGTTAATAAATACTACTATATGTCAATGCAAATTTATGAAATTCATAACTCATAATTAAAGAGAGATAAAATAGGAATTCTTTACCTAAATTTATCTTAGGCCAGAACCTATCCACTGTGTACAAATCATGCATTTTAGAGTATTTTGTATTTTACGCATAATTTGGTATTTATGTGCATACCGTGTACTTTGTATAGATATTTCGCATCAATGGTGAAAGAGTGATTTAAGAGATATTTACATTGTTCCAGATCAAGGCAAGTTTATTCCTCCTCTTTCCTTTGATCACCTTGAAACCTATGATTTGGGAGATGAAAAGCATTTGTTTCCGAAACTGCATATGTATTTAAGTTAAAATGATATTTGAAACTTATTAAATGGTAGCTATGACCTTATTGCTGCATAATCTTCCTTGATATGTTGTTACCCTTTCATTTGTAACCATAGTAATAATGGGAGTACATTGGTTGTACTCTAATGGGACTAATTAAGTTTTTATATGCCAATTGCTTAGCCATGCCTAGAACTATGCAAATGAATGATTTTATAACTTGATAAATGGGATTATGATTATCTGGGTTAATGCTGGATTTATGATGGAAATGTTAAGTATTTGTGAACTAAAATGGAGTTAAACTTGTTTTTAGACTTGGGCGGCAAGTGGTGTGCATATGGTGGTAGTTGTGCACCGATAGGGGGAGTGTTCGCCCAGGTTGATTAAGGACCGAACTTGGTGTCGTTCACTATTGTTTACCGTACATCCACATGTGCTATTATGGGGTGGCCTTAGCTAATTAAGTTACTTAAAATCTAGCCTTACATATTGGTAGGCTGGAGTAGAATGAATTAGTCTGAGCGATGATTCACAGGAACTACCCATGTGTGTGTGATGATTATATTGCTAGCCACTATTACTAGCTGGGTGTGTTCTGTGAGGGGACGGATGGTCCGCCTCACAGCATGGGCGTCTAAGTCTATCCAATTCAACGGTATAGTGCCTCGTGGGGGAACGGATGTGTTCGCTGCCACGGCGTTAGGTTTAAAGCGTGGGCCCGCTACCTAGCGATTCTGGGTCATGCCCAGGATGGATTCACACTTGCCATCGCTGATGCAAGGTTAGGCGTTAAGTAATGTAAAGGCTACGTTGTGACCTCTAGACTGCATTCAATGTGTAGAATGTGGTGGTATCGACGGGTACCGAACAAACTAGAGGGATTCACGTCATGTGGGTAAAGCTGTACAAACTCTGCAGAGTTCTCTAAAACTAATCGATTAGCCTTGCTCACGGTCATGAGCGACATAGTGAATTGTCATGGGTATAGACTTATGTTTTATAAATGTGTGTCGAGCACCAAAAATTCATATAGTCCAGTGATATTTGTGGTCACCACATGATCTTGGCTGAGTGGGATCCATACATGCATAAATAGCCACTCATATCTCAATGTGTTCATGACCACAACATAACACCATTCGATATGAACTCTGCGATGCCGAATAATGAGCAAAGGAGATATTGCTGGGACTCAGCGTGCCAGTCAACTTCAGCCTGAGACATACCCGTCAAACCATTCGAAGATGGCGACCAGATGTGTTACACATCTCAGGAGACTTGACTCAAATTGCTGAGCTCTACAACATCTCAATTGCTCAAAATTCTTACTCATGCTTAGCTAGCCCCAAGAAGATGCTAGCTTCGTACTTTCATCTAAGCCATGGTATTAACTCAAATACATGTAAGGTGACTTAGACATAACTAGAGGCAGATAACACAGTTACTTACATATAGCCATTCGACTAATTAGATAAAGTCCTTCGGAAGCATGTCTACCCAAATTCCCCACAAGCAACCGACTAGGGTAAACCCCTTGATAGGACCAATCCTGAGAGAAACAACTATTCCCGCAACACTCAATTACCTGCAAAAAAAATGGATATTCCAGTCTAACAAGTGTTAGTACATTAATCGAGTTAATGTACTGGCAAACGCACAGTCAAACCTACATACATGAAGGCTAGATTCAAAGAGAGGCTTATATGTAGTCGGGGTTTTCAGCATAAAGCTAATTTTAGTTCACAATTCATTTGCAACGCAATTTGAACAAAACATTTCAACAATTATGTAAAGCATAATATTCATGGCATGATACCAACATAAATAGATAGTAGCATTTTATCACAATCCAATCCGAAAATAGGGCAATCACATCACATATATCAATCTCATTATCATTCCAAAACATTTAGTTTCAAAGGCATTTAAGAAAACATAAAAGTATACCCACATCACATCACTATGCCGCTCATGACCGTGAGCACGGCTAATCGATTAGTTTTTATAACTCTGCAGAGCTTGTACAACTTTACCCACATGGTATGAACTCTCTAGTTTATCTTGTGCTGGCCCAGCACTACCACACTCTACATGTTGAATGCGGTCTAGAGGTCATAACGAGGCTTTTACATTAAGTATTGTCTAACCTTGTATGAGCACGATAAGTGTGAATCCACCCTAGGCTTAAGTCCTAGAGTCGTTAGGTAGCGGGCCCACACCTTAAACCTAACGCCGTGACGGCGAACACATCCGTTCCCTCATGAGGCACGTTATCGTTGTATTGGACAGACTTAGACGCCCATGCTGTGAGACAGAACATTACACTCGTTCCCCCACGGTAATCACACCCAGCTAGAATATTCGCTAGCAATAAACACAACACAATCATTAACACATACATGGGTAGTTCCTATAGATAGCCCACAGTACACTCGTGGCCACTACCTCTACTACAACGGCCTCCCGAATGCAAGGTCAGACAAATGCTTAACTTAATAGGCCAAGGTTATCCCCATACATAACACATGTGGATGTACGGTAAACATAAGTGGGTGATATGTAGTTCAGTCCTTAAACAACTCAGGCGGACACTCCCCCTATCGATATGCAACTACCACCATATGCATATCACTTGCCGCCTAAGTCTGAAATTCACATTCCTTTTATTTTAGTTCACAAATAAGCAGAGAACTCCTCTCTGTTCATAATTTCTAAAATGATTCAAATAACATAATAAGTGATCCATAACCATGATTTATTTATTACTAAGCAAAGCTAAGCACTTGCATTTTTACAAAAAGCGTAGGGGTTTCCATTTGAGTACAAATAGGGTACTCTAAACCATTCTAAGGTTACAAACATCATGAATAACAATTGTCAAGGAGGATTATGCAACAAATAGGTCATAACTACCATTTCATCACTTTCAAATAATTTTTCCAAATATAACTATCTAACGCATGCAATTTTGCAATAGAAAACGTTTGCCCAATAAAACATAGGATCAAAGTGTTCAAAGGAGGAGGGCAACACTTGCCTTGATTGATGTCCTTACTGGAGTCAGCGAAAGGTTATATCTTCTCACCAACAACGTAATCGTCTTCTAAAAGAAATATCGATAATCGGGTAAATACCGAAACATACAAATATTCAAAATGTTCTAAAATGCATGAATTCACTAGTGTGGTTAGATGCTGTGGGTTTATAATTTGTGGTGAAGGAAATTCTATTTTATCATATTGCATTTGTGAGTTATAAATTCTTAAAGTCTAAAACTAGAAATAACTTAATTAGGCTCTATTTAGCTCTAAGTGCATTTTGGGTTCAAGATTGGCAAAGCCTTAGGTTTCTGCAGCAGAGAGTAATTTCTCCAAAGCTTAACAAAATTTAGTTCACAATATTTAAAGCTAGCATGAATTTATTATGAATTTAACAATTTAAATGACATATTATAAGTCTTACTTATTATACAACTTTTAAATATGTTTTTGGTACTATATGTACTACATTTAAATTTATGAAAACTAAGTCTATGAGATTTATAACCCAACCCATCTGGAATTATATTATTTGGAGTTAGAATGAATTTTGTATGAATTTTATAAATTAGTGAATGCTATATATTAAGTATTCCATATATTAATTTTTAAAGACATTTCTTCTACTGTAGGCAACATGTTTTATCTTACCAAATTAAAGTTTACAATTTTGTGAATCCATAGAAATTTAGTTCACCTCAAATGGAGTTAAAATGAATTTTATATGCATTTTACAAGTTTCACTCATTTTCCTGTTGAAAAATTATTGTTTTGGATATTTCCTTTAATATTTCCAATTTTTAAAGATAATGGGTCCACTAGTCAGCCTCTGTACTTTTGCAGAAAAGTCCCTGGGTTTCCAAGGATTCAACCCGAAGTCCCCAGCACATGTCTAAATACATTTTCATTAAGAGTTCTCAAATTTCTGATTAATTGCTAGTAGGTCCTTGGTCCCACATGTCATAGGTTATACAATTACACATTAGTACAGAAGGTTTTGTCTTCCTTACAAATTATACCTCGGCTACTTATATGCAGTGGGGCCCGCAGGTCAGTGGCTTAGTGAGAGAGAGACCGGAGGCAGCGGCTGAAGGCGGCGACCGACGAGCTTGTCGTCGACGCCGGCGGCAAACAGCGGGTTTTCGCGAGGTGCGACCCAGAGAGAAGAGGTGGAGGAGGGGCTGGCGATCCCGTCGGTGGTCATGTTGTTGGCTGTGGTGGTCGGAGTCGACGCCGGCGACGTTGTGAGTGGCGGAGTGCTTCGGCATGCTAAGGCATCTCGGTCTCTAGCTCAATTCAGTGGGGTTTCATGCATGCATTCGCACCTACGGAGATCGTGGTTGCTTACTTGAGGTCGCGCTGGGCTCGGCGAGGCTTGGACAGCAGTGGTGACGCGAAGACAACTCCGGCGGCGGCGGAATCGGGCAGGGCGACGGTGACAGCGAAGAGCGGCCAACCTCCTGCCAAAGTGACACATGCGCAAGGTTAGAGATGCCCTAGGGATGCTACCCACGAGAGGAATTGAGCCGGAACTCACCCGAGGACGAGAAATCGACGGCGATGGCCAGCGGCCGGACTTGGAGAAGACGAAAAGGTTCTCTTCAACGGCAGTGACTTAGCTTGAGTTCACTTGGGCGTCTTGCGCCTGGGATCTAGACGACTGCCCTGGCGCAGTGGCTCAGCTAGGGTTTCACCGGGTCGACGGGAACGGCGATGCGAACTGTGGCTGCGCTCTGGACACCGAGGACGCCGATGAGTTTAGCACATGGTGGATAGGGGAAAGCTACCGAGGGTTTAGGCGTGGATAGGGGATCGTGTTCCCACGGTTGGTCCGCGGTGAAGCTCACCAGAGAAAGATGGCGACAGTGGTGGATCCCGACGGCGTCGGAGAAGATGGATTCGCTCCCGGAGCTCCCGAGACGATCTCGCTAGGGTTTTGGGAGGAACGCGGCGAGGATGAAAGGCTTCGTCGGTGGGCAAAGCAACGCTATTTATAGAGGAGATCGGGATTGCGGTGGACGGCGAGGTGGCGCACTGGGGTGCTAGCGCGTGTATGCGACGTGGCAGCCGTTCCTGGCTTGGAGAAGGAGGTGGCAAGCTTGAGTGATTGACAGGTGGGTCCTACCAAGGCTGAGCCCACATGGCAGAGAGAGAAATGGGTAGTTTCTTCGGTGAACTACTGCACAATTGATTTTCAAAGAATTTACAGATATATTTCCTCTCCCTTCTTTTTAATTCTCTGACTCAATTTCTGTGCAAGATAAATTAAGGTGGATTTTACTGGTGATAGATAAAACTACCTAGATTCCATTTTCCTTGGTTGCACGCAAAAATACTCTATATTTTATTCCCAGGAAAATAAAGAAAGTAGGCCTAGCTGAAATTAGATTGAATTTTTAGGAGGTCAAAACCTATTAAATAAATTCTGGAAAAATTATATCAATTCATGACAAATAAGGTAGTATTTGAATAAATTATGTTCCATGTACATTTTCATGTGATAAAATACATTTATGAGGTGTGTGTCTTTTTTGCCGATTAGGGTTTAGTATTAACCTATGGGTTGACTGTTTTGACCTAATTATTTGGGGTAACAAATGTACATATTAATTTACACCAAAATTTCAGTGACTTATATATATTAAATAGTACCTCCATGAATTTCCTCATGATTTTATATTGCACCAATTATTTTTAAATATTCAATGAGTTCACCTACCCTTAAGTATTCTTATTTTGAATATATATTTAAATGGTAGAAAAATTATATTTTAGTTTAGAATCAACCAGAAATGTTATGTTTAGGCTTTACTTTCATTTACATTTCTATTTTGGACTCAAAAATAAATTTTTATTATTTATCTGAAGTAAAAATTCGAAATTCGAATTTTTGGTATGTTACAATGTGTTTATGAAAATGGGCTATGGGAATGGTGATGGATATGGAGTGTGGTGAAGTATGATGATGATGGTGATGATGTTGCCCAGTGTGGGCTGATATGATGGTGCTGGTGATGACTTGGGTATCGGAGATGAGAGTATGTATATGAGGTTGAGATGGTGAATATTATGGTTTACTTACGTTACTGTTTTATTAATTGAATTGTGAACTCCTTTACAAATGATTGTGAACTAAAATTTGCTTTATACTAAAATAAGCTACAAATAGCCTTTCTTTGATTTATGTCATGCATGATGTAGTATGTTAGGATTGTCTTGTGCTTGCCGGTACATTAACTTGTTTAATGTACTGACTCTTGTACGACTGGAATATCCATTTTGCAGGTTGATTGCTTAGTCTTCTGAGTGATTTGTGGAAATCGTTGCTTCTTCTAGGATCGGATCCAAAAGGAGTATTCTCCTTGTCGGCCGCTTGTGGATTTGGGTAGCCAAGCTTTCGCGGATCAGTAAATATCTGGCCGTTTGGCCTAACTATTTAGATAAGAATGTAGAGTAAAGTTTACTTATGTTTACTCCCTATTTATTCTGATTGTCATCGCTTAGATGAAAGTGTGGAACTAGAGCTTTTCCTGGGATCTAGTTCTGCACCGGTATGAGTTTTGAGCATTTGGGATGTCGTAGAGCTTTAGCGAATTTTGTCGAGTCTCCTGAGATGTGTAACACATCTGGTCGCCATCTTCGTGTGGTTTGACGAGCATGTCTCAGGCTGAAATTGACTAGCATGCTAAAGTCCCAGCAATATCCCCTATGCTCTCTACTCGGCGCTTCAGGTTCTATATTAAGTAGGTCATTTGACTTGATAGGGGAGCGATGAGGTTGGATGGTTACTGTTTTACTTGATTATTATTAGACCCCATCCAACTAAATATTCCGCGCTATCATTTTAAATAACTTACATAATATTTAACCTGGGGGTGCCCCACAATTAAGCTGTCAATAATTAATGAAGTAGCAGTACCTAGCTCCAGGCTGTTACCTCCCAATGGTGGCAAAGAAAAATAATATTGTCTTTCATAAGGCAATGTCGCAAGCAAGAATGGATCTGCAGACAATCAAAGCAAGAAAAGGATAAATAATAAAGAAGTAAAGTGTTGAATGTCAGTGATCCAAAAGAGAATTAATCAAAGGAATATCATTATAGAACAAAAAAGAGAGAATATTTCATAATTTCTTTAAGACTAAGGCAAGCTGCGAAAAGCGAAATATTCCATAAATTTCAGCAACAAGCATGGAATTTTGCATGGAACCAGCAGCTCAAGGGGTAGCGTGCATATGCAATAGTGCCGGTCTGCAAGAGGAATTAACCAAACCATTTGTTGATTGGTCATGCAAGCACCCCACACCCCCATGCACGCATGCACTAAGGCCTTAGCTTAGCTTAGCTTGTTCTAGCTAGGTAGGTATTTGATCCAGCCGGCCAGCCAGCTTGTTGCCGGCAAGCGGGGGAGCGATCCGATGGCTGAGGGTGCGGCGAGTGCCGTGGCGAGGCGCAGTTGCTAGGACGTGTGAAGAAGGACGTGCAGTTCATCAAGGAGGAGATGGAGAGCATGAGGAGCTTCCTGACGCACCTGACCGAGACGGAGCCTCCCGGCGGTGAGCACGACGAGCAGGTCTGGACGTGGATGAAGCAGGTCCGGGAGCTTGCGCAGGACTGCAGCAACTGCATCGACACCTACCGGCAGCACGGTGACCTAGCGGTCCGCCACCCCAGCTGGAGCCGCGGTGCCGGCATCCTCCAGCGCTACATCTACTGGGCTCCTTGGATGGTCGAGAAGTTGCTCGCCCAGCACTACGCGGCCATCTGGCTGCGCGAGCTCAAGGACCGTGCCCACGACGTCGGCCAGCGTCGCTTGAGGTACGGCGTGGAGGTCCCCGGCAAGCCATCATCCAAGGCGGCAGGAGGGGCACCGTCGTCGGTGCGGTCTGAAGAAGCTTCTCCGTCAACCACTAGTGCCACCACAGGAGCACAAGCACCAGACGAGGAAGATGAAGACGAGGAGGAGGAGGAGCAGCAAGACCAAGAATACGACTCGGCTAGTAGCATTATTATTTCAGCTGAGCGTCGTCGAAGAGCTCTGGAGCCTCGCTCTCTGGAGAACTTCTGTGCTGACGAGCTTACCTGCTAGGTAAAGTCGGTTGGCATTACGGGACCATCGTCATCTTCATCGCCATCATTACCATCCATCGCCATTGTACCACCACCACCACCCAGAGTAGCTCAAGGTGGTGCAACGGAGGTGGTGGTGGCCGCAGGAGCCAATGCACGCGATGCTTTGGCTTCCATGGAGACCACCCATTTCGACCGCTCTGTGTGGATCAACCTCCAGGCTTTGCATCTCCACCGCTCTTGGCACCAAATCAGCACCGAGGCCATCCTCTGCTACATCCTGCGTGAATGTGAATCTCTCAAGAAGCGAGGCAAAGATCATGGTCAGGTGGACGACCGGGATGATCAATGGGAGGCTTACTATTATTACAGATGGGACATATTGTATGATATCCATAGGGACTTTTATCGACAGGTTAATCCTAAGATGGAAGAAATCGAGGGTAATATTACTAAGAACAGTGCTGCAGAAGAAGAACAAGAAGAGAAAAGTAAAGGAGAAGCTGCATATGGAAACCAGACTGAAGACGAAATCCCCTCAACCCCTGATGGTAGTATGTCACGCCCCAAACTAGCCCCGAACGGCGGCCAGAGTAAGGCGATCCAAATTAACCTGTATACTTGTACCAGTCCCAGGAAATAATGCTGGTACTACAGGAAGACAGAATATCACAACAACAGCGGTCTCTTTATTAAGAGTAGAATTACAACCAAGGTTAGAACTGCGGACAGACCCCGAGTTAACAACAGCAATACAAAAAGGCAGAAGCGGAAAGCGGAGACTAGCCCTAAGCCACAAGCAAAGCCTTGGGGAAAGGCCGAAACCCTACTATAGCTCGTAGTCTGCTTGCTCCTGGAAGAACTCTTCTTCGGCAGGGTCCACCTCCTCGTCTTCGAGAACTGGAGGGGTTAATTATATAGAGCAAGGGTGCGTGCGGGAGTACTCAGCAAGTCAGGGGAATTAAGTGTTTGATGCAAGCTTCAAAGGAGAGCCAGTTATTTTTCGCATTCGATCTTAGTTTAAGACTTTCAGAAACAACTAAGTGAGTGCTTCTCAACGACACGGACGAGAAAGTGCGTCTCATCCGGTCGGAGCAGTGAAATTGTAAGGATTGATTCTTGTCGGTACGAGAGGCTCCCTGCCAATCGTTCACCGACACCGGCTGTACCAACAACCACACGCGAGAGGCTCCCTGCCAATCGCTCACCAACTCCAGCTGTATCAACAGCCACACGTCAAGCACATCGGCACGAAAGGCTCCCTGCTAATCGTTCACCAACACCGGCTGTACCAACAGCCACAAGCCAAACACTGAACAGAATTCTCACCCAACAGCAGTTCACAAAGTAATCAGCAAAACTACGCTAAGGAATCACCTCACATCCGCCAATGACCGTGGGCACGGCTGTTCGAATAGTTGTTCACCTCTGCAGAGGGGGTACACTTTACCTACAAGACGTCACTAACCCGGGTCACCCAGCCCGTGCAGAACGGCCACGTCTGGTGATTTTGAGGCTTTCACGACAAAGCATTTCGAAAGCTGACTCAGGGTCATCTTATGCCAACGGGAGGGGTCCCACGGACAAACACCAGGTTAGGTCCCAGACCATATTGTGCCAGGAAGCCCAGGGGTCCTCCCCGACACCACCCCGGCGAATCCACTTGTCCCTTGGCATCAGGATTTCCTTGGCCTAGCTAATTACTCAGCTAGGGGTGTCCCATCTCACCCATGTAGTCGTACTTGACATATGCTCGGATGTAATTCCCAAGGAATCGGTCCTTAAGGCGAGAACGGGAAGACCGCACCTCCAGTACGTCTCCCGCACCGTGAGTTTTGGAAACTCACTTTATTTTCAAGGCACCGACCCAAGTGTTGGGTTTTCCTAGCATTTTGTAAACTCAAGTTTTACCCAGTTAATCATTTTAAATTTAAAGGGAGCCTCGATATTCGTACGCGGGGTGCGAATACCGAGACCTCACCTGAAGGGTGACAAGGGGTGTTAGGGTATTCAATAATCAAGGAGGGTGAATGCAGCAAATGGGTGGGTCCTGCCTATTGTATTGCAAACCGAGGCCAAGTGTCATGTGTAACCTAAGGAATGCATAGTTTGCGGAATCAAAATACTTAATTTCAAATTATAGGTTCAATTGATCAAAGGTGATTTGCCTTGCTCCAGATCTTGAGCTTCTTCTTCGAAATCTGCGTACTGCGAGTCTTTGGGCTCCGAAACTACACGTGAAACGAGGCGACTCAACACAACGATAAAAAGAAGCCGTATTAATGACCACTATGCATGCCATTGGATAAATCTCGATTTTTGAGGAATTCTGGAAGTTGAACGGAGTCAAATGGACGAACGGTTGAGAAGATATGAATTTCCTAAGATTAAATGATTTTCTATCTAAAGGAAAAGGAATTATTAATTCCTTTGAAAAAGAAAAAGGAAGGAGGGACTTGAATTGGACTTTTATTGAAAGGGATCCGGCCAAAGGCCGAATCGAACGCGGCCGGGCTACTCGAAACGGCACGCGGGTGGCCGAGTAAGGGAGGCCGATGGGCCGGTGGCCGAGTGGCACGGCCTAACGGGCCGGCGCGGGCGCAGCCGAGCGAGCGGGCTAGCGCGCGGGATGGGACGGCCCAAGGCCAGGGAGGAGCGTGAGGCGAAGAGGGAGGCCAATTGGGCCGAAGGCCGAGTGACTCGGGGCCGACTGGGCCAGAGAGAGGAGAGGGCTGAGAAGGGAGGGAGGCCTAGTGGGCCGAGGTGGTGTAGCCCACGCGGGCGGCCGGACCAGTGGACCGAGGTCCACCGCGTGGCACTAGGGCGGGACCCGCCCGTCAGCGGCGCGGTCCACACGGATTGGGCGCACGGAGGGAGAGAGGCCGTCGGCGCTCGTGTGGCGCCGACATGGCTGCCACGGAGGCCGGCGGGCAGCGGCGAAGAGGCTCAGGGCGGCGCGGTGCGAGCCCGGCGAAGGGGGTGACACCGGAGCGGAGAGGGGAGAGAGGGGAAGCGAGCCAACGGCTCGGATCGGAGCGCGAGGGTGCGACGGCGGCCGGCGACGGCGTGAGGCGGTGGCGGCAATGGTGGCGCGGGGAGGGAGCGGAGGAGAGGGCGGCGACCACGGCGGCGCCCGGAGGGAGGTCTACGGTGCTACCGAGCTCCCTAAGCCGAGGAGAAAAGAAGGGAGATGGGGGAAAAGGACGAGTTACCGCAGAAGGGGACGGGCTCGCCGGGGATCGCGGGGACGACGACGCGCGGGCGGTGCGGCATGGCTCCGGGCTGAGGGAGAGGGGAAGGAGGCGCCCGGAGTCTCCTTCGGGCGTCCTCAGCGGCGACGGCGAACGGCAAGAGCAACGGCTCGGCTCGGCGGGGCGGTGGCGAACGGCGGACGGAGGGTGTTCGACGGCGGTAGGGCGCGGCCGAGAGGGAGGGGAACACGGGTTTAAAAGGGGCGCAAAGGTGGTTGGGCGGAGAGGCGGTTGGGGGGCGAGGTCGGTGAGGGGACTGGCACGCGCTAGCAGCCGAACGGCAGCTGCCGGGTGACGTCGGCGGCGGTCGGGAAAAAGAAAAAGAGAGAGGGAGAAAGGGGTGCGGCCCCCTTGCCAAAACGGGCAGGGGCACGCGGGGAGAGGGGCAGAGAGCGCGCTCTCCCCCGAGGCGGCACGCGCGCGTGCGAGCGGCGGGGCCGGGAGTAACGCCGGCGCTTGGCGCGGCGCGGGGGCAGCAGTGCAGAGGGGACCCCGGGTGACGGCGGCGGCGGACGTGGGACCAGCGGCGCTGAGGGGCGGGGCGTGGCTGGGCGCAGCTGTCGAAACGAAGTGAGAGAGAAAAAGAAACGGGCGAGGGAGAGAGAGAGCAGGGGGGATCTCTCCCGCGCGGGGCGTGCGAGCGCGGCGCAGCGGGAGGAGGAAGGGGGGTGGGCCGAGCGAGTGGCCCGAAAGGGAAGGAGGCCGAGGGAAGGAGGGAGAGGCGCGACTGGGACGGGCGGCGGCCCGAGAAGGAGAGGGAAAAAGGGGGCAGGCCGAGTGGGAAGCCGGCCCGGGAGAGGGGGAGGCAAAACAGACTTTTGGCAGAGAGGGAGAGGGAAGGATTAGGGTTCGGATTCAAAATCCGATTTCGCGATTTTCTCCGGGATTGAGCTGAGAGGGGAAACACGAGACCAAGGCACACGACAAGACACGACCGAAGAGCAAAATTTTTGCAAATAGAGTTTTTAGGAATTAGGTTTTCCCGCTAACGCCATAACAAAACGGGCGTTACATAGTATCTCCAAGACCAAGCCAGTGGGCATACTCTTCAGAGCACTGCAGCCTTATGCCGTGTCAAATGTTGCAATATTGGGGACTAACCAACCATTGGACGAACAAAACATATTCCCCGAGACGGCCAATAAGCTTAAGAGGCATATCGAATCAGGCAAAACCGAGTTCCCAATTCATCTTGATCAAGCCAAATATGAATCCATCCTGCGCGAGGTGTTCCCCCTTGCAACCAGCAAACCCCACAAGGTCCAGGAAGGTACTACTGCTGTCAGTAGTGATAGTAGTAGCCATGTTGTTGCTGCTGCTGCCGCTGCAGCCGCCGCCACCGCCGCTGCAGCGACTACTGCTGCTACATTGGAGAAAGTTCAGATAGAACAAATCATTGACAAGGCTAAACAAGACATCCTGCAATGCATCCTGCAGGAGCTACAGCAGCAGTTACCAGAAGCTGACAAATCTCTTGAGGAGAACGGAGTAACGAAACCTAAACCTCAGTTTAGGATGAGCATGCTACTGCTGCCATTGAAGCCAAGGAAAACAAGCCGCCAGCAGCCAAGGATGAAACAAAGGAAAACAAGGCACCAGTAGCTCAGGATAAACATGCTGTTGCTGCCAACAAAACCAAGGAAAACATTGGAAAAATCAAGTCCAAGATTAATAATGAAGCTACTACTGCGACTCCTCGGCCGCCTACTACTATTAGTACTACTACTACAACGTTGGGCAAGGATCAGATCGAAGAAATCATCCACAAGGTTAAGCAACAAGTCCTACAGGGTCTACATCACCAGCCTCCTCCCCATCTTCCCAGAGCAGATAGATCGTTCAAGGGGGAGCCAGGCATACATAAACCAGGTGGGGATGAATATGCCAATGCTATCAAAGAAACCAAGCAAAAGATCAAACAACTCACAGGAAAAATTATGGAGCAGGTGACAATCCAAAGATCAAAACACTTTTGGGTGGTAAAAAGACCATGATTATCATTGAAGATGATAAAGATTATGCATCCCAGTGGAGGGAGATCAGAAATGCTTTGCATCAGCTGTCAAGCTCCGGCAGTGCAATGGTTGTGACCACCCCGAACATTCAGAAGGCCAAAGAAATTTGCTGTCCACAGCAGGAGCCTATAACCAATTCTATTGCTGGCTTGTACTATGATACTTTGCTCAAGCTTACAAGGAAGAGGGTGAATAAAGATGTAAACCAGATTTTCCGCGACATCTTGGACAAGTGTTATCCAAGCGAATTCTGCATGAAGATCTTCGCTCATGCCCTCTACGCCAATCCCAACAGGAGCAAAGAAGATCTACGCAAGTTGCTTGATTCCCTGGATTCAAATAAATCACTGGGCATCTGTTAGATCATAATCCTTGTAATCCTTGTATGTTATTTTCTTTCGGTTAGTCTGTTTAGTTGGTCATGGCGCAAGAATAGCCTGCGCGTGGCCAAAGCAACGGGACGTGCGCGCTGCTGCGGATCGTGGGGATGGACGCGAGAAATTCGCGGGAGTGATGCGCTTCCTAGGGCATAGCATATTGCATGGTTGTTTTGCTACAAATAAGATAAGAAAACAGAAAAGCTGTAGGCAGATTACGCAGCGCCAAAACTCTGCTCTCTCTCTCGTGATCTGATTACAGTACTCGCGTGTGTTCGTGTGTTGGTTCTTCCTCGCCCGCTCGCCGATCGTTTGGGTAAATCCTAACATTTGGTATCAGAGCGAGGTTCAGGGTGTGGAATCATGATCGTGCTCTCGAATCGGTTCTCATGCCTTGCCGTCGCTCGTCGTCACCGACGCAGCGCACTCCAGGAGATTCCGGCCGCCGCGCCTCGGGCAGCGGCGGGAATGTCCGCGGGCTGGTTATACACCACGTGGTCAAGGAGGCGGGAGGCTCGGCAAACTATCCGGTGCTCACGAAGACGAACTACAACGAATGGTCCCTCCTGATGAAGATTAAGCTCCAAGCTCGTTTCTTGTGGGGCACCGTCGATCCAGGAGGGGCCGGGATCGAGCTCCATGAAGACAGGATGGCGTTGGACGCCATCTGCAGTGCCGTCCCCGCCGAGATGATCTCGATGTTGGCGACCAAGGTGACGGCCAAGACGGCATGGAAGTGCATCAGGACTCTACGCGTCGGCAACGACCGCATTCGCAAGGCGAGCACACAGAAGCTGCGTTCGGAGTACGAGGCGCTGGCGTTCCGCGACGGCGAGTCGGTGCAGGATTTCGCCATGCGGTTGAACACCATCGTCACGCAGCTGGTGACCTTGGGCGACCCCGAGCCGGATGACAAGGTCGTCAAGAAGTATCTTCGCGTCACGCGACCCAGGTTCTCCCAACTCATTCTTTCCATTGAAACACTACTCGACATTTCCACCCTGTCGCTGGAAGAGGTCACCGGCCGTCTTAGGGCTGCCGAGGACTCCGGCCAGAGTGCGTCGTCGTCCTCGCCAAGTGCCGGTGGTAAGCTATTCCTCACTGAGGAGGAATGGCTGGAACGCCACAAGAAGAAGGAGCAGGAGCGCAGGAACAGTGGTGGTGGCAATGGCCGCGGCAAGCGTCGCGGCGGACAAGGACGACCGGCGGCGGCGGCAGCGGCGGTACTGGGAACACGGACAACGCTGGCACTGGGCCGGCCCGCAGGACCGACAAGTGCCGCAACTGCGGTAAACTTGGCCAGTGGGCCAAGGACTGCAAGAGCAAGCCCAAGCGGGAGGAGCAGGCCCACGTGGCCCAGGAGGACGACGAGCCCATGCTCATGCTCATGACCTGGGGCTGTGTCGATGAGGTCGCGCAGGAGCACGCGCCGCCGCCGTACCAATCCGCGCCAGGCCACGACCACGTCGAGCTGGAGGAGAAGAAGGTGTACGCCGCGCTGGACGACGCAGCGGACCACGACCACACGCGCTGGATTCTCGACTCCGGCGCGTCCAATCACATGACAGGGTTGCGATCTGCCTTCTCCGACATCGACTCCAAGATCACCGGCAACGTGCAGCTCGGGGATGGCTCGATCATGCGCATCGGCGGCCGAGGGACAGTGATGTTCGCGTGTAAAAACAGTGAACATCGCATGCTCCACAACACGTACTATCTCCCGCGCCTCGCCGCCAACATCATCAGCGTCGGGCAATTAGACGAGACCGGCTTCAAGGTGCTGGCTGAAGATGGCGTCATGCGCATCTGGGACGAGCAACGACGCCTGCTAGTCCAGATCAAGCGCAGCCCCGACCGTCTCTACGTCTTGGACATCGACCTCGCTCGTCCGGTGTGCTTGGTGGCTCGCGCTGGAGAGGACGCAGGGCGGTGGCACGCACGTTTCGGCCACATCAACTTCACGGCATTGCGCAAGATGGGGCGTGATGAACTGGTACGTGGTTTGCCAGTGCTGTCGCAGGTTCATCAAGTGTGCGAGGCTTGTCTCGCGGGAAAACATCGTCGAGCACCTTTCCCGCACCAAGCGCTACACCGCTCCACCGAGCCACTCGCACTGGTCCATGGCGATCTTTGTGGGCCGATCACGCCGGCGACACCGAGCGGGAACCGCTACTTCCTCCTCCTCGTCGACGATTATAGCCGCTACATGTGGCTAGTGCTCCTCGCCACCAAGGATGGTGCTCCAGCAGCCATCAAGCGTGTCCAGGCGGCGGCTGAACGGAAGAGCGGCCATGAATTGCTAGCTCTCTGCACTGATCGCGGGGGAGAGTTCACGGCCAAGCACTTTGCCGAGTATTGTGAAGAACTCGGGGTGCGGCATGAGCTGACAGCGCCGTACTCGCCGCAACAGAATGGCGTTGTCGAGCGGCGGAATCAGTCCGTGGTGGGCATGGCGCGGAGCATGTTGAAGGCGAAGGGCCTCCCGGGCATGTTCTGGGGGGAGGCGGTGAACACCGCCGTGTACCTGCTGAACCGTAGCTCGTCGAAGAGCATCGGGGGCAAGACCCCGTACGAGCTCTGGAATGGCGTCCCGCCGGCCGTCCACCACCTGCGCACATCCTGATTTTCGTTTCAGGATTTATAAATTATTTAATAAATTAATAATAGAATTTATATTAAATGTTCATTAATTTACAAGTGAAGTTAAATGTGGGAAATAAAATTTCCTAAATATAAAGCATGGTTGGATTTAATTTTTATTAAATTCTCCATGGTTAATTATACTCTCTGGAATTTTCTCGGATTTTTCGGAGCTCAATTCCTAATTTTAATCATACAAAGAGCATTTCAGTAATTACCCACATATTAAATTAATCATTAAATGGTCTAATTGTAATTTTGTTAAGTACTTTGAGTGTCCAAGTATTTTCAGGATTTTTCTTGAAATTATTTGAGCATTGGAAGTATTTTTAACAATTCAAAGATCATTTAAGTGATTATTTTAATTGGGAAAGTAATAAAATCCTCCTCCTCAGCTTGGGCCATTTTCAGCCCATTCCTTCCTTTCCTTCCTCTCTCTTCCGCCGGCCCAACCTGAGCCGCCTCCTCTCCTCTCAGCCCAGCCGGAAAAGTCTACTTTTCCTCCCTGCGCTACTGTTCATCTTCCAACTCAGGCAGAGCCCGAGCCAGCCCTGCCGTGCACAGTGCCGCCGCCTCTTCCTTCCAAATCTCGCCTCCCCGTTGCTCCTTTTTCCAATTTTGTTGAGGGGAAATATTCCTCTTATCCTCCTCTATCTTTACCCCAAAAATCGGAGCTAATCGTTGAGTATCTTATCCGAATCGAACTCGTTTTCGAGTTTATCTCCAAAACCGAGTTTTTGATTTCCCGGATCGATTTCTTGCGGGAGGAGTCCGATCTCTTCAATCCAAGGCTATAAATAGGACCCCCTAGTCCTCCTCTTTCGTTTGCCCCCTCTCCCGTGGTCTCCCGTGCCTCGTAGCGCCGCCGCCACGTGCTCCGCCCCGCCGTCGTCGCCGGCCGAGCTCCATCCGCGTCGCGCCGCCGCCTCCGTCGTCGCCGCCGGTCGCCGTCACCGCCGTAAGGTGCGCGGGAGGGTGGAGAAGCCCGGCCGCTCTCTCCCCGCTGTCGCCGGTCACCGGAGTCCCGTCGCCACCGCCGACCGAAGCCGCGCCGCCAATAGACCTCGTCGCCGGCCGTCGTCGTTCGTCGTTTGGTTCGAGGGTGAGTACCGTTGGGTTCGTCTCGTCGTCCTCTACGTGTTCATGTCCTCCAAAGTCGCAGCCGACCATCCAATCTCCGGCGAGGTCGCCATCTTGGTCCGGCCATTGATGAGGTCATCATGACGTCATCATCGTTTTTCTTTTTCCTGTTTTTCTAATAGATTAAATCTTCGGAAATTCATAACTAAATCATCGTAACTCGGTTTTGAGTGGTTCAAGTTGCTAAATTCATCTAAAATCATGATCTACATGTTTGTTTACTTTATATGTACTGTTTATTTGGTTTTTATTAGTCTTTTTCTTCGTTTTGCGTGTTAGCTTGTCGTTTCCGTCGTTGCGAAGGTTTGTGAGTGCGCCGGAAGTATTCAAGAAGATTAATTGAAGATCGATTATTGCAAGGCAAGTCACACAGATCCTAAACACAATCCTTTGAGCATGTTGATCCTATATTTAAATTCTCTATTTATTTCAACTGTGCATTTATTTTCGAATGTCACCGGGTGGTGTGAACTTATTCCTTTGTTATGGCCAATTTGCATTGATTACTTTATTCCTTGATACCTTGGGTTATTATAACTTGACTAGTTGGGCTTTATATATTGGTTCAGCTAGATATTAGTTATGATTGCTTAGCCATGCTTAGAAACATTAGCACACTATTGGGATAACTTATGACTCACTATTATTTAAGGATGGCTTAATGATAGTTCACGATGGTCAATCGTGATTGGTTAATTAATTACTTGCCAACTAAAACTTGATAATGGTGGGTTGTGAGCACATGGTTTTGAGAGTCGTGCTCATGACAATTAAGGACCGGTTCGCGAGCTACTGTTGTGAAACATTTATCGTGCCAACCACAAGCCAGCGTGGGCAACGGCTTTATCTTTTGTGTAGCGTGATTCATTATAGTGCGCCAGACTGAGAAGTGGCGAGAAGTCCACGGGGGTCGCTGGGGAGTCCATGCCTTGTTTATAAGGGGGTGATTATGATCCAGGAAAGGTGCGCTGTAATGGATTATGTTGTGCAAGGGGTATTGTCACAACTCCTTTCCGAGGTACCGTGGTGGTATTGAGGCACATGGTGACATGATGTGGGGTTGTGTCTTGTGGGTACAGTGGTACACCTCTGGCCAAAGTAAAACTATTCGAATAGCCGTGCCCGCGGTTATGGGCGGGTTGAGCAATGTTTTTCGTGATTAGTCTCACATTTCTCACAATAATTTGGATGTAATAATTGGTAATAATTTGCTTAGCTCCTGGTTTGGAGTTAGATCTGTTCAGCCGGGTATGGTTGTTCAGGATGGTTGGGCCTGTACAGCATGGGTGTGCTGTTCAGTGTTGATTAAAACTTCTGATTAATTAATCTACTGTTTTACTACTCTTAACTCTTTGCTAAATGCTGCTTTCGCAAATGAGCCTATATTATGCCATCCTTTGGTATCCTTGTGCACTTGCATATTTGCTGTGTGGCTTGTTGAGTATGTCATATGCTCACCTTGCAATAATCAATCAACCTCAGTTGAAGAAAAAGGATCCAGAAGGAGAAGACGTTTGGCTTATACCCCAGTTGAGCTGCCTGTGGGAGTGGAGCCGGAGCTTCGCTAGATTTTATTTTCCGCTGCTGTTTTCTTTTCTTTTGTAAGTGTGTAACGTTATTATTATGATGGATTTGTATATTAAATTGTCAGTTTGTGTACCTCGGCTGATTCCTGGACGAGGATTTTATGCACAAATAAGTTCGGAAATTACTAGTGAATTTCCGGGCGTGACATTGCACACGTGAAGGTAATGACCCTGAACGTGAAAAAGCTGGATGATCGCAGCCGGCCGATGATCTTCGTCGGATATGAGCCTGGGTCGAAAGCTTACCGCGTCTACGACCCGACGACGCGACGCGTCCATGTCTCCCGCGATGTGGTGTTGGACGAGGAGGCGCAGTGGAACTGGAGCGGCGAGGACGTCACTGACGCAGACATCGACATCGACTTCACCGTCGAGTACACCGTCGTGCGTTATCCGCAGGTGGAGAACGCCACGCGCCAAGAGCCGGTGAACACCAGCCACCCGCCGGTGTCACCCGCGTCCCTGCACACGCCTGCGTCAGCTCCGTCCTCGCGCACACCCACGTCGAGTTCACCTTCGTCCGCGACTTCGCGGGTCAGGTTCGTGTCTCCACCGCCGTTCAACGAGAAGGACATGGACGCTGAACACGACAATGACGCGCCACTACGGTTTCGGCTCATCGACGACATCTTGTGCCCGTCATCACCACCAGGGTTGACCACTCGCGAGATGTCAGAAGAACTGCTCGTGGCCACTGCCGACGAGCCAGCGTCGTTCGCCGACGCAGAGCAGCAGGCGTGCTGGCGTCAGGCGATGAACGAGGAGATGGCGTCGATCGAGGCGAACAAGACGTGGCGGCTCGTTGATCCTCCTCCCCGGCAACGTCCGATCGGCCTCAAGTGGGTCTTCAAGACTAAGAAGGACGCCGCCGGCAACATCACCAAGCACAAGGCACGCCTCGTCGCCAAGGGATATGTGCAGCGCTAGGGCATCGACTTCGACGAAGTTTTTGCTCCGGTGGCGCGGTTGGAGTCCGTGCGCTTGCTGCTGGCACATGCTGCGTGCGAGGGCTGGGCCGTGCACCACATGGACGTGAAATCCGCGTTCTTGAATGGTAAGCTCCTCGAGGAGGTGTATGTCGTGCAGCCGCCGGGATTCGTCATCGACGGCCAGGAGCACAAGGTGTTGCGCCTCGACAAGGCGCTCTACGGTCTTCGACAAGCGCCGCGGGCTTGGTACTCCAAGCTCGACGCGTCCTTGCTGACGCTCGGTTTCCACCGCAGCAGTTCTGAACATGCTGTGTACATGCGGGGCACGGGCATGGACCGACTGGTGGTCGGCGTGTACGTTGACGATCTCATCATCACGGGTGGCAACACCGGCGAACTCAAGCAGTTCAAGGAGGAAATGAAGAACACTTTTCAGATGAGCGACCTCGGGCTGTTGAAGTATTATCTCGGCCTGGAGGTGAATCAAACTGAAGAAGGGATCACGGTGTGCCAGAGCGCCTATGCATAGAAGATACTCAAGGTGGCTGGCATGATCGGCTGTAATCCAAGCTTTACTCCCATGGAGACGCGACTGAAGTTGAGTAAATCAAGTACTGCTCCTTCGGTTGATGCCACGGATTATCGCCGAATCATGGGATCGTTGTGTTACCTTGTGAACTCAAGGCCGGATTTGGCATATGCAGTGGGCTACGTGAGCAGATTCATGGAGAAGCCCACTGTCGAACACTTGGCGACCATGAAGCGCGTGCTGCGTTATATCACCGGCACCATCAACTACGGCTGCTGCTACAAGAGGAAGAAGGAAGCTGCTCATCTCGTCGGCTACAGCAACAGCGACCTCGCCGGCGATCTCGACACCCGCAAGAGCACGTCTGGTGTCTTCTTCTTCCTCGATGAGAACCTGATCACTTGGCAGTCCCAAAAACAGAAGGTGGTGGCACTATCGTCTTGTGAGGCGGAGTACATAGCGGCCACGACGGCGGCCTGCCAAGGTGTGTGGCTAGCGCGCCTTCTTGCCGAGCTCCGGGGAGAGGAGGCAGACGCCGTCATGCTGAAGATTGACAACCAATCCGCAATCATGCTCAGTAAGAATCTTGTCTTCCACGATCGCAGTAAACATATAGACACCCGATACCATTACATCAGAAAATGCATCGAGGAGGGCAGGGTGAAGGTCGAGTTTATCGGCACTGACGGGCAATTGGCGGACATGCTGATGAAGGCTCTCGGACGAGACAGGTTCATTGAGCTGCGTTCTCGAATTGGCCTTGTCGAAGTACAAGCTCCATGCAGGGCTTAAGGGGAGATTTGTTAGATAATAATTCTTGTAATCCTTGTATGTTATTTTCTTTCGGTTAGTCTGTTTAGCTGGTCATGGCGCAAGAATAGCCTGCGCGTGGCCAAAGCAACGGGACGTGTGCGCTGCTGCGGATCGTGGGGATGGACGCGAGAAATTCGCGGGAGTGATGCGCTTCCTAGGGCGTAGCATATTGCATGGTTGTTTTGCTACAAATAAGATAAGAAAACAGAAAAGATATAGGCAGATTACGCAGCGCCAAAACTCTGCTCTCTCTCTCGTGTTGTCTGATTACAGTACTCGCGTGTGTTCGTGTGTTGGTTCTTCCTCGCCCGCTCGCCGATCGTTTGGGTAAATCCTAACAGCATCAATGCTAAGAAGATGATAAAGTTCTCCTACACTGATCTCCGTAAAGAATACAAGTCATGCTTCCTGTACCTAGCAATCTTCCCTCCAGGTTACCCTGTCAGACGGTCAACCATAGTAGGGCGCTGGGTTGTAGAAGGGCTGATAACTAAGGAAGACTGGCCTAGTGCAGTGCATCATGCTGAACGATGTTTTGATACACTCATTGATATGTGGCTTGTCTATCCAAGTGATATTGGTGGTGCAGGAAAGGTAAAGAACGGCATTGTAGGCGATCTTGTTCATGAGTTTATTACCAGAATTGCCAAGAAACAACACATTGTGGAGGCACGTCTGTCACGTCATTTGGCTCGCCATTTCTCAATTTTCAATGACATCCGACTCCGTGGCTCTGATAGAATAGACAAGTTCTTGAGAAAGCTCCCTGAAACATCTCAAATGTCAATGCTTAAGGTGTTAGATCTAGAAGGTTGTCAATGCTTCCAGAGGAACCAGCACTACCTCAAGGACATTTGCAACAATATTTTACTGCTCAAGTATTTGAGCCTAAGGAGAACAGATGTTACACAGCTACCTAGTGAAATCAACAACCTCTATGAGCTGGAGGTACTGGATATTTCGCAAACTGAGGTGCCTGAGTATGCAACAAAACATATCCTGCTCCTTAAGCTAAAGCGTCTGCTGGCTGGCTGTATTGATTCAAACAGTTCAAGTAATGCTAAAAACAACATTTCATTCAGGAATCAGGCACCATCATCCTCCAGCGTCCAAATTCCTCACAAGATAAAAAAAATGTCTAGCATGGAGGTACTTTCCAATGTCAAGGCTTCATGGACTAGCAGAGAGTTGAAAGACATTGGGAAGCTATGGCAGCTGAGGAAGCTTGGTGTGGTTATCGACGACAAGGACAGCATACTCAAAAATTTGCTTACAGCAATCAGCGACCTATGTGAGTGCCTCCGGTCTCTGTCTATCACTATTTTTCCCAGTACAAAAGGAGAGGGCACTCCATCCAATGGAGACTTACCACAGTATATTTCCCATTGCCTGAAATACCGTCCTAAGCTTCTTGAGAGCCTGTGCCTCCAGGGTACCACGCAAAAGGGCCAGCTTCTTATATTATTTGTTGAACGTTTTACTAAGCTTGCCAAGGTAACTTTGAGTTGCACCTCATTGAAACAGAAAAATCTGGAGGGTCTCGGTGATCTGCCCAACTTATGCTATGTTAGGTTGAGACACAAGGGATACACAGATGGCAAACTCACCTTCAATGAGCACAAATTCAAAAATCTCAAGTACTTTCTTGTCGAGGGCAACAACATGAGAGGCATCAAATTTCAGAAAGGAGCAGCTCCAAGGCTCGAGAAGATTGTATTGTCCTTCACTAACATAGAGTCTCTTCATGGGGTCGGGGACCTACCAAAACTGGAAGAGCTCGAATTGAAGAGAAACAAGTTCCTTCTTTCATTATCTGAAGAGGGAGAAACTCTTGAGAAATACATGCTCACCTTCAAGAAGGATGAATTCCAACATCTCAAGTACTTACTTGCTGAGGGCTTCAGCAAGAGCTTTGAGACAAACATAACCTTTGAAGATGGAGCAACTCCAAAGCTTGAGAAGATCATCTTGTACTCCTTCGCCAACATAATGTCTCATCCTGGGGTCAGTAGCCTTCCAAAATTTAAGGAGCTCGAGTTGAAGGGAAACAAGCCACTTCTTTCATCATTTGAAAATGCCAATAAAATTTCCAAGGTGACTCTTCGCTCTACCTTGATGCAGCATGCTGACCTACAAATCTTCGCTAAAAGACCAAGCATATGCTGTCTAATTCTCTTGGGCAATTCTTATGATGATAGCCTGCTTACCTTCAACAAAGGTGAGTTTCCCAAGCTCGACCTTCTTATTGTTGAGTGCCCTACCATCACCGACATCAGCTTCACCGAAGGAGCAGCTCCTATGCTTGAGAAGATCATCTGGTCCTTCACCAAGATGAATTCTCTCTCAGGCATCGACAATCTCTCCAAACTGAAGGAGCTCGAGTTCATTGGTGACCTTGTCCCTGACCAGGTGAAGATAGATATTAACACACATAGAAAGCATCCTGTTCTTAACCACAAGCTGCCACAGCACCAAGACCAAGAAAATGGAAGTGAACAAGGAGAAGAGGAGGATCTAAAGTTTCCAGCATGCTCCTGGTTGTCGTTGAAAAACAAGTATTGGTCCGTTAACTGACGAAACAAAATGTTTCCATGCCAGCATCCTCCATCCTTCCATCTAATTAGTGATCACTTGCATGCTAGCATGTGTTGTCCTTCTGCAAATCTGTAATACTTGTGTGTGTGTGTGTGTGTGTGTCTGTTTATTCATCAATTAATTCCTAGCTAGCTACCAGCTGCTAGCTAGCCGCATGCATGATCTGTGCCATCTGATCAGTTCAAACATGTAGCTGGATAGCTTGGGCATTGCAGCTGTGCCGACCGATGCAGCTAGCCGCGCTCGTGTATCGAGTTGGATGTGTGGGTTTCATCTGAAATTAACCATCTGAAGGTGTGCCTTGAGGTAATCACTAATCAGTGTGTGTGATTTGAGCATATGGGTGTGCGTATGCTCATGGTGGATTGGATTTGTGCATATATGTATGTAATGCATCTCTGTCGAACCATCAGTGTGGAGAAAATTGCATATCTACCATCGTATAAAATTGGCTTCGCTAGAATACCATCACTCAAATGGGCTTCGCTGGAATACCATCTTCAACTGAGTGTAGTTTGATACTTTGCCATTTTCATCACTTTTAGTAAATGAAAAAGATTTTGCTCTCTTTTTAGATTTATTGTGCCCAAATTGCCCTCGGGCTTTTTTTTTCCTCCTCTCTCAATTCAACCTTTTTTTCCTCCTCTCCATGCTTGAGAGGTCGTCACCGGCGTGCCAATCGCCGGCGGAGGCGAGGCGTCGAGGTGAGGTCGTCGTCGGTCGGTGAGTCGGGGTGGGCCGGCGGAGCTCGAGGCCGAGATGACGCGAGCAACGGCGATGCGGGATGGCGGCCGATACGATGCCCCTGGGCCGATACGATGCGGGATGGCTGTGCCCGCCGTACCGCCTCTCCCACAACTGCGCGCGTGGGGACGTCGTGCTCGCCGTGTGCAGGCTAGGACTCGCGCGGCTCGAGGACTACCGCGTGCTCCTCGACGCCGGTGGGTCCGAGCCACTCGCGGGCGGCCACGAGCACCGCGGGCTCCTCCGCGCCGCCGTGTGGCTGCTCGACCGAGAGGGCACCGCGATCCGGCGGATGGTGGCAGAGGTCGGGCTGGCGGGGTGCAGGCTCGTGTTCGTCGGCCACTCGCTCGGCGCGTGGGTCGGCGAGGAGAGGCGGCGCGGCGGCTAGCTCGGCACCGGTCGGCGACACTGGCGTCGCCGCTTCACCTCTTCTGAAGCGAAACAAGTTGAACTAGGGGCATAACAGTCTACGAAAATGTGTAATCGCCGAAAAATAATTTTCAAATGCAAGAAACCATGAAAATGGCATTGCAGCGAATACCCATGGTTTGGGAGTGGTATTCCAGCGAAGCCCATTTGAGCGATGGTAGTCTAGCGAAGCCAATTTTATGCGATGGTAGATATGCAATTTTCTCATCAGTGTGTGGTTTAATGTAATAATTGTGCGACAGCATTTCGCTCTCGTTAATTTGTTAGCTAATTTGTGCTTTAAATAAATTTGTGCTCTGATTGTGTTTCACGCAGGGATTAAGCTATCTGAAAGGGGGGATTTTTTGGGGTAACAGAAAAACAAAATTTCCGGTTTCTATCTCAGATTTCAAACCAAATGTTCAAACTAAATTTGAAGTTGAACCAAAAAAAAATTACGCTCAGATTCGAGGGGAAAGAGCCTAACCAAGGAAATCAGCCATGTGCGCCACCGGCGAGGACGCATTGCCGCCGCCGCGGCGGATGTGGAGGCGCTGCGCCACCATTCACGCCGCCAGAAAGGGTCGGATTGGCGCCGGCGACCGGCGTCAGCGGCGGAGGAGGAGGCAACCATGGCCATGCCCCCTCTCGCGCCACCGGAGGGGAGGCCAATGCGCCCCCATGTGCGCTGCCGTGGACAGCAGGGGACGACGGCGAGGCCACCGCCGGGGAGGTCGCCACCATGCCTTTCATCGCGCTATTTGGGAGAAGGGTTCGAGCAGCATATCAACAGCAAACCACATGTTCACCTCCAAAAATAATCTTTCGAAAACAAAAAAAAACAAAAGACATCCAGTTTCACTCTTGAATGGAATATATTGTATAAATCGTGGCAAAATTTTCAGCACCATTTCTTGCTAAATTACAGAGGCTATATACAGCCACGCTATGTACACATCAGGTAACTGTCATGCCCCAAACTAGCCCCGAACGGCGGCCAGAGTAAGGCGATTCAAATTAACCTGTATGCCTGTACCAGTCCCAGAAAACAGAGCTGGTACAACAGGAAGATAGAATATCACGACAACAGCGGTCTCTTTATTAAGAGTAGAATTACAATCAAGGTTGGAACTGCGGACAGACCCCGAGTTCACAACAACATTACAAAAGGCGGAAGCGGAAAGCGGAGACTAGCCTTAAGCCACAAGAAAAGCCTTGGGGAAAGGCCGAAACCCTACTACAGCTCGAAGTCTGCTTGCTCCTGGAAGAACTCTTCTTCAGCAGGGTCCACCTCCTCGTCTTCAAGAACTGGGGGGGTTATTTATATAGAGCAAGGGTGAGTACGGAAGTACTCAGCAAGTCAAGGGAATTAAGTGTTTGATGCAAGCTTCGAAGGAGAGCCAGTTATTTTTCGCGTTCGATTTTAGTTTGAGACTTTCAGAAACCACTAAGTGAGTGCTTCTCAACGACACGGACGAGAGAGTGCGTCTCATCCGGTCGGAGCAGTGAAATTGCATAGATTGATTCTTGCCGGCACGAGAGGCTCCCTGCCAATCGTTCACCAACACCGGCTGTACCAACAGCCACACGCGAGAGGCTCCCTGCCAATCGCTCACCAACACCGGCTGTACCAACAGCCACACGCGAGAGGCTCCCTGCCAATCGCTCACCAACACCGGCTGTACCAACAGCCACACGCCAAACACTGAACAGCGATCTCACACCAACAGCAGTTCACCAAGTAATTAGTAAAACTACGCTAAGGAATCACCTCACATCCGCCCATGACCGTGGGCACGGCTGTTTGAACAGTTAATAACCTCTGCAGAGGGGGTACACTTTACCCACAAGACGTTACTAACCCGGGTCACCCAGCCCGTGCAGAACAGCCACGACTGGTGACCTTGAGGCTTTCACGACAAGGCATTTCGAAAGCCAACTCAGGGTCATCTTATGCCAACGGGAGGGGTCCCACGGACAAACACCAGGTTAGGTCCCAGACCAAATTGTGCCAGGAAGCCCAGGGGTCCTCCCCGACACTACCCCGGCAAATCCACTTGTCCCTTGGCATCAAGATTTCTCTGGCCTAGCTAGTTACTCAGCCAGGGGTGTCCCATATCACCCATGTGGTCGTACTTGACATATGCTCGGATGTAATTCCCAAGGAATCGGTTCTTAGAGCGAGAATGGGAAGACCGCACCTCCAGCACGTCTCCCGCACCGCGAGTTTTGGAAACTCACTTAAATTTTCAAGGCACCGACCCAAGTGTCGGGTTTTCCAACCATTTTGTAAACTCCAGTTTTACCCAGTTGATCACTTTTAAATTTGAGGGGAGCCTCGGTATTCGTGTTCAATAATCAAAGAAGGTAAATGCAGCAATTGGGTAAGGCCTGCCAGCTATATTGCAAACCGAGGCCAAGTGTCCAGTGTACTCCTAGGAAGGCATAGTTGCAGAATCAAAATACTTAATTTCAAAATTATAGGTTCAATTGATCAAAGGTGACTTGCCTTGCTCGAGATCTTGAGCTTCTTCTTCAAAATCCGCGCACTGCGGGTCTTCAGGCTCTGAAACTACACGCGAAACGAGGTGACTCAAAACAACGATAAAAAGAAGCCCTATTAAGGACCACTAAGCGTGCCATTGGATAGATCTCGATTTCTGAGGAATTTTGGAAGTTAAACGAAGTCAATCGGACGAACGGTTGAGAAGATATGAATTTTCGAAGATTAAATGATTTTCTGTCTAAAGGAAAAGGAATTATTAATTCCCTTGAAAAAGAAAAAGAAGGGAGGGACGTGAATTGGACTTTTTTTTGGGCGGCTAGGCGTGGCCCAACGGATTAACGTGGGGCGACCGAACTAATGGGCCGGCGCGCGAAGGAATGGCCCAAGGCCGAGCGAGGGAGGCCGATGGGCCGAGCGGCCGATGGGTGGGGAGGCCGATGGGCCGAGCGGCCGAAGGCCGAGGCCGATCGGGGGAGGGAGGCCGATGGGCCGGAGGAAGGCGGCCGAGTGGGCCTAAGCAAGCCGCGGCCCATGTGGACGGCTGGATCGGTGGACCGTGGTCCACCGAGCGGGTGCTAGGGCGAGACCCGCCCGGCAGTAACCCGGTGCGCGTGAACCGGGCGCACGAAAGAGGCGAGGCCGTCGGCGCTCGCGTGGGGCCTATGTGGCTGCCACGGAGGCCGGTGGGGAGGAGAAAGGGGAGAGAGGGACGAGCCCGCCCGGGAGCGGACGGCTCTCGGCGGCGCTACGGCGAGCGGCTTATCCTGGCGAACGGCGGCGAGAAGGAGGGGAATGCGGGCACCGGTGGCTAGAGGAGGAGGAGGGGAAGCGAGCCAATGGCTCGGATCGGACCGCAGGGGCGTGATGGCGGCCGGCGACAGCGCGAGGCGGCGGCGGCAACGGCGGCGCAGGGAGGGGGCAGAGGAGAGGGCAGCGTCCACGGCAGCGCGGGGAGACGGGTTCTTCGGAGCTACCGGGTGCCTAAGCCGAGGAGAAAGGGGAGACGGGGGGAGAAGGAGGTTACCGCGGAGGAGGGGGAGCTCGCCGGGGAAGGCCGACGGCGTGGGGAGTGGTATCGGCGTGGCTCCGGGCCGAGGGAGAGGAGGAGGAGGCGGGGCCGGGGTCCTCTCCTCGCGTCCTTGGCTGCAGCGGCGGATGGCAAGAGCGGAGGTGGCACGGCGCGGCGGGTTGGAGGGGATGGAGCTCGGCGGCGGACGGCAATGGCGGCCGAGGGGGAGGGTTTAAAAAGAAAAGGCGAGGTCGGTACGAGCGGAGGCGGTTCACAGAGAGGGGCAGAGGTGGTGGAGAGCGGGGGAGGGGGGCCGGCGCGCTAGCGGCCGAGCGGCGGCAGCACGGTGACGTCGGCCGGTCAGGGGAAAGGAGAAAAAGGGGAGGGGAAAGGGGCGCGGCCCTCTTGCCGATTCGGGCAGGGTGCGCAGGGAGAGAAAGGAGGGCGCGCGCTCTCCCTTCCTTGGCGGCACGCGTGCAGGGCGGCGGGGCTGGGAGCGGCGGACGCTGGCGAAACGGGATGGAGGGAGAGAGAGAGAGGAAGAAATGGCGACGGAGAACGACGCGGGGAAGAGAGAGAGAGCGCCCGCTCTCTCGAGCGGGCGTGCGGAGCACGTGCACGGCGCGCCCCGCACTCGGGCCACGCGGACCGGGCCGAGCTGCGCGGCCCAGCGGGAGGAAGGAGGCCAAGCGAGCAGCTGGGCCGTGCGGCGGCCCGAGAGGGAGGAGAAGAAGGGACAGCAGGCCGAAGGAGAGGGGAGAGGGGACTGGGCCGGGAGCGGCCCGGGAGAAAAAAGGGGCCGGTGAGAAAGGAGGGGGCGACTAGGCCAGACGGCGGCCCGAGAAGGAAGAAAGGGGGAGGGAAGTAGGCCGAGAGGGAAACGGCCCGAGGAGGAGGGGGGTAAAGCAG